TTTGAAATAGACACTGATATCAATCGTACTTCACAATAGTTTGATATTTGGGCAAAGCGGTGTTAGTTTAAAACCTGAAATTCATAAAGAATTATTGCAATTAAAAATTGAATTTTACTTTATTTTTTGGAGATTACTATTTAAATTTTACACTTTCGAGTTGTTTTCAATCAAATGGAAATGGTTGGCTCATATTACATAAGTTCATAATTCTACAATGGAAAAGACAGATGTTCTCATGAAGTTATAATAAAGTATATTCTTCCTTGGAAACAATTGCTGAAAAAATATACACTTTACCACTCCCTTTTCTCCGGTTTTTAATACACGCTCATGATCATCGAATCAGACTTGCCTCGAAAGGCACAGTGAGAAGCCATACTGCCCTCCCATTATATGTTAATTATTCTGCAATATATAACGAAGCTCGTTTAGCACAGTTATCGTTATAAAGATGAAAAAAGGAACACCGTGGACTACAATGTAGTTACAAAAGATGAACAAAAACAGAATCACGCCATCATTTTGAGGAGGAGCACATGGTGCTGTTCCCACTGTGTTTCCAGCGTCAGATCAACTACTGGTACCCTGTCCCTCGCTAGGTAGGTAGTTTTCCAATAAGTTTAATGGTCATCAATATAAAAAGAAACGTCACTTGATATGTGCTTTAACCCATTCACCCCTAAAGTCACATTTGAACCTCACCAAATTAAAGACTGGGCGAGTCCAGTTTAGATTTGCAGGGGTGAACGAATTAAAAGTTGTATTGGATAACGTGCTTACTTTTTTTTACTTCTTTAAAAAAGTCTTCCTCTTCTTCTTCACCCCGCCGTGAACTTGTCCGCACGGGATTCCTACACTCAAAGGGAGTACCAGGCCTTGATACTTAAGGTAGGCGAGCTCCAAAGTTAAACACCTCAGACCATTTTGCAATCGCTTCTCGAACATATTGCGAGTACGTACCATACCAAGATGTAAAAAGAAGCCAGACTTCTATAAAGTTCAATGAGGAAGGTGTCATGTTTGAAGTAAGAAATTGCGGAAGAAACTCTTGCTATAGTAATAAAACAGCTTCTATATTTAGAAGCAGTTTAGGAAACTTTTGTTTCAATTGACTGGATCTGAATCACTGAGACGTACTAGGAAATATAAACTGTACGGAAAAGCGATCCAGGCAAATCTGATTTAATGAAGGCCAGGTTCGGACACTCTTAAATATTTTTTCAAGTTAGTCAACAACAACATCAACAACAGGAAGGTTTCAGTTAATGCATTTCAAGAGCTTTGCTTGTAAACAACAGAGTATACAGGACCCGTATTCATGAAACCGTTCTCGTGCTCAAGTATGGATATTGTGCTCACTCCTAATATTTTGTTCAGGTTATAAATTAATACCAAAAAAATCTTATTTTGTCAATGATCTGGAAACATATTAGGAGCCGAAAAGCCGAAGAATAATGTTAACATTTTACTCTTAGATCGTTTGACATTATTTAAGTGAGTTACAAGAAAGCTGGTTTGAGCATAGAGTCTGTGCTTAAGCATGAGAGCAGTTTCATGAATACGGACCCAGGTCGTTCCCAGAGATATTGGAGGCGTAGATATTGGAGGCGTAGACAAGTCACTCTAGTGAGCTGTCATCTCCTGATATTGCGAGTCGACAGACCACGAAACACTCAAAACTTAGATCCATGTTCGACAACAAGGCATTCTTCTCGAAAAAAGGCAATGTTACTACAACACACTGAACACAAATAAAGGAAATAATTTGTAATTCCTTCTGAGAAATCGCAAATTTGGAAGAGAGGCTGTGATTTTAAATCTTATAAAACTTTACAATCTCATCATGAAGTCGATGAAGATTCCTGACTGTCTCATACTTGGGCTTCTCTCTCAAAATAGCCAGAAAAATTGTATAAATGCAAGGTCAAGAAGTATAGAGGTCATTAGAAGAATCATCTTTTCTTCTACCATTAGCAAAGTCTTACACTCTATACCCTCTAAAAAGAGTCCAAATGTTTTTACACCTTTTCATAACCCTTTACCGCATGACTTTACGAAGGTGTCACCTTTTCAACTAGTTATTTTTCTGTGAGAAACTCGCAATTATCGGATGAGACACTTGGGTGAGAGTCAAGTCGCCCTACTGGAGGCCAAGGTTGCCCTCGACACTGTAGATTACAACCTTCCATTAGCAAAACTGTTTTAGAATGTGATTCAAGGTGAGATATGGATACTTATACATGATCTCTTCAATATGCATCGAATCATATTAAATGAAAAGGTCAAAAAAAAAATTCTAGACATATATAAGGTGTTAGACAAGGAGGAATCATCAGCACAGAGCTATACAAAATATAAATGCCAATGGCTGTCTGAAGCATCCTCCAACCTCCAGGGGCGACGCTCTCTTACGTTACAGAACATAAGTGACCATGACCCTTGGAAGTTTGAGGAAGTTCAAGCATTCAAACCTCATGTGTACATCTCCATCCTACGTGTGTTGACGATGCTCTCTCATTGCCTCAACCGTTGACAACAGAATCTGCATACATTAGCTAACACTGTCAAAAACTAGTTAAGCTTACTACTACAAACTTCAAACGGCTAAATGTGTGATCCTGCACACCTTTAAACTGAAATCAAGATCAACTGTACAAACTATTCAACAGCAATCCTGTCCTATAGACTTAAGAAAGTATCAATCAGTTATATTTCTGAGAGTGTTATTTCATTTTGATAGGGAGATTTAACGATGTATGTTATCTTATTATGGCATGGAGAGTTAAGGTCATAGGAGTGTATTGATAAACGGAAATAGGAAGTGCATCCCTAGTTGAAAATCCAATGTAGGGAGACAGTATCACAATTTCCGCATGTTCTAATGTTTAATTTTAAACTGATGAATATTGTATGTTTATTATTGACAGAACAGTGTGTTCTCTCAATATTAAAGTATTTCAGAGCAATCCAGGCATTAATTCAGGTGGGTTTTTTTTATCAATGAGTCACATGTGTCCATTGTTCTGTACTTCAGGAAACCGGCCCAAGAAAGATAACTCTTACCTGCAATTACTAGGTGTATTTTAATCGTTTATAGATAATTAATTTTACACCATTTCAGCATTTATTAGATTGGTATACATTAATGCAATACTAATCTATGTCAGTATCATTTTTATTGACATTATTTTGCAAAATGTGTCTTTCATTTTTTTTTTCAAAATTCACTCCTTTTTACATAAATTTCCATTCAAAATCCTTAAAATTCTGACAACCTATATTTTTTTGTGCCAGAAGATTTTCTTTACTTCAAAGCAATATAACTACAAAATTTGAAGAATTTCTACTGAGAAATGGTGACACAATCCTATTACCTTAAGGGTGTATGTTACCTTACTTTGACTACAAGATTTATGGATATACATTAACTAACTTTGGCATGGAGACTAAAGTTACCTTACTGTGACATGGAGACTTAAGGGTGTATGCTACCTTACTGTGACATTGAGACTTAAGGGTGTATGTTACCTTACTTTGACTACAAGATTTATGGATATGCATTAACTAACTTTGGCTTGGAGACTAAAGTTACCTTACTGTGACATGGACACTTAAGGGTGTATGATGCCTTACTGTGACATGGAGACTAAAGGGTGTATGCTACCTTACTGTGACATTGAGACTTAAGGGGGTACGCTAACATACTGTGACATGGAGACTTAAGGGGGTACGCTACCTACTGTGACCGGCAGACTACCGGACATAGATATACAGTGTACTACCGACATAGATATACAGTGTACTACCAGACTGTGACAAGAAGACTTCTATAGATATATATGCTACCCGACTTTGACATGGACTTGAGGATGTTTACTACCATATCTTGACTTGGAGACTTAGGGATATATGCTTCCTTAATGTTGCATGCCTTTAATTGAGTTTATAACTAAGAAAACCGTAAAATTAAGTTTGAGAAATTTTAATTTGTATTTCATTTATTGATTAATTACACATTTGTAAAGTACACAATAATACTAGAATTACTAACAGACTAAATCATTATATACAGAAGATGAATCATTCCGTTAGAGAAATAAAATAATCTAGAATTCTGTTAAAATGCTGCGCTCTATAATAATGCCCCAAATGTACATGCCAGAGATATATATTCATATACACACCTGATAAAGCACATCTTTTACTTATTTCAAATAAAGGTGACTGAGCTTTATTTTCTGCTTCACTGACTTTGCTTAGAAAACACAGCAAAGCAACACCACCACCAACCCCCAATCATATGAACTTAGCTGTACCTTGAACAAATTTGTGGTACAGGGGAGACAACTTCTGGTAAAATCTATAGATGCCATAAACCACTCATTCACCTATACATATTAAAACTGGACTTGCCCAGTCTTTGATTTTGTATGGTTCAAATGTGATTTAGGGGTGAATGGATTAAGGTAGGTGAATATGTAATGATACAGGCCTTTAAATTGATATTGGATAACTAAAAACAAAGTCTTCTTTTCAAAAGAAAACTGTCCAAAACTGTTTCAGAAACTGAAGACGACTTTCCAACAACTTCCAAGGTCAGCAAACTTACTTAATTCCTAGTTGTTTGGTGGCCCAGGGGCTCCTTAATATGGATACTCTAAAATCTTATTAAGATTTGAGATTTCTGTCAACATTACACAAGGGTGATCAGTTCTTCTCCTTGTCAGTCATTTTGTCAAATTTGAGCATTGCAGTGCAATATTAACTCATGATCATGGGCAACACAATATCTAGTGCCAGCAGATATCCCAATTTGGCAGATAAGAAACTATTTACCAAAATAGGTTAAAGTGATGAAAAGGAAACTCAATAGCAAATTGATGGTCACACGTAAGGTATTTGAGAAATTTTGCAGCTGAACAGTACTCTATCAATCTTGCTTTTTGTATCTTACCTTTTAGAAATATTGACATTCTTTATTGCAAAATCAACACAGATTGTTCTTAAAATATTTTATTTACAACAATAAAATTCTTACAATAATCATTCACAGATTTTAATCTTTTCCCCTAAATTCAAACTTTTGACTTGAAGATATTTAGTCGTACACACATTCTCAAGCATCTCTTAAATCCATCAGTCTCATGTTTTCTCTAGCACACAGATTTTCCACTGTTTGTCCACACACACTTTCTTGCACAATGACAAATATTTCTTGGTCAGGTAAAACTATTATTCTACGCATTCAGATTTTTTGGTAGCTGTATAGCATTTAGAACCTCTCACACTTATCAGAATTTCCCTGAATATTATCAGAAGTTATGATGAAGATGTTCATGTGAATGTAAATTTCATTAAACTCCAAAAATGAACAGGGTTTGATAAAAGCCTTTTACAGTGTTAAGAATTCAAAGATATCCTTAAAGTGCACAGAGAATTGGACATCCTTAAAATAATCAGAAAATTTATAGTCCTCATCTCAAAATGAAAACCCTTAGTTTTACTACTTACCCCTTTCATCCCTAGGTAACTTTAGTAGACTCTACCATACATTTATCTGGATGAGTCCATTATGGTCCACAGTGGTGAAAGGGTTAAGATGTACAGACATTGACTTTAGGTAGAGCTTTCATAGTAGTCCTAACGATGTGCAGCTTAAAAAAAACAAATAATGACCTCATGCAGGTTCTTACAACATGTAGATAAACCCTTCATTACTGTCCATAGAATGTTTCCCTTTAGACCTTGAAATGAATAAGTGACTGAAACACTTACAAAAGTTCAGCATTTACTGAATTTACAGACTCCAAAGACGCTGTAATTAAACAATATATATCAGACTTCAGAAAATGTATGAAGATTCCCTCAATGAAAGTCCAAAAATGTCCTCATGGATGTCAGATGAATGATGCAATGACAATGACGATGAGGGTGGATGACAGTACACAGACAGGGTCAGTGCATGACAGAGTTGAGAGGTTCTGCTTTGATGTTGTTAAAGTCGAGGCCTCCATCTGTGTCATCATCTATCTCTCCAATGACAGCACTGCAGTGAGAAACAATAAAGGATAATACTAAAGAAATTTACAAAAAAGATCAAGTTTAAATTAACTTTAAATGCATGTTTGCTTTGTAATTTTCGAACTGAAAGCATTTACAAAAAGGTACTAAAACACCCGCGTTTTCTCTGTCTTTGATATCAGTTTTATTTAATATTTCACTTTATTCGATACCATTTCAGATTTGTCAATGTTTCATGAAAAAGTTAAACAATACAACTTTATTGAAGTTATATCCAATTTCAAGAAATGTGTATGCAAACAATTGAATTCAATACTGACTTAGATCTACAACTTATCTCCCCTTATATGTAGTGCAACTATTTACTGATTACCTCCCCTCATAAACTGAAATAATAAAACTTACATATCATCTCCCCGTTACGAAGTACATAAACATAATTTAATGTACAAAATATTATCTCCCTTGATAAAGTACACAAAACATCCTGGAACAGATTATCTCCCCTACATGTATGATGTACAAAACTTGCACACACATTGTCTCCTAAAGAAATCTGATACATCATATATTATCTCCTTTGAAAAAAATGCATAAATTTAACTCGCATATAATTTCTTCTGGCATTTCCAGTGATAAATCATAATATTTACAAATTATCTCCCCTGATTAACATCAGTAAAATACTTACACATTATCTCCCCTGATGATGTACAGTCCAAGTATGACCTGTTCCACGCCCTGTGACGAGCTATACACACGCTCATGACTTTCGTCCAGAATCAAGTTAATGGTCTGGTCAAAACCTTTCAATGTGCCCTGAAAAATTAATATCACAAATTATCTTTACAATAGTTTAATTTGGGAGTATGAACCATGGGTTGTTTCTTTTGTTTTATGTTTACAATCATGCCATATCAATCATGTTATTGCGAACATAAGACAGCAATGTAAATACGAAAAAAATGTTATCTTCAAAATATTAAAATCTATAAAGTTTCTTATATTTTAATTTTTATAGTCATATTAACCAGGAATGAACTGAAAACTTTCTTTTTGTGGATTAAAGGTCAATGGTAAATTACTGCAATTTAAACTATATTCACCATTGTAGACATATTAAGATCAACAATTTTTGCCTTCTCTTTATAAGGCCATCATAGACTATTCATACCTTCTGCAACTCATTTATCAGTAAATCGACCCCGGAACTTCTAAATTTTCCAATTCTCTTTTCTTAATCTGCTTGTAGACATTTTGTTATTACAGTACCCAAGAACTTTTAGTCAAATGCAAGCATGATACAGGCTAGGATTTCCTTCATTTATTACAGAACTGTAATAACAAAAAAACTTGGTGTCGAAGGGGTTTAGGCCAAAAAAATACATGTGTTTCCTGTTTCTGTTGAAAAAAAAATGGGTACCCCAGTTAATTTAAGTAGACAATTAAATATTTTTTTTACTATGCTTATACATGTATAGAGTTTTGACTTTTAACAGTGCTTTTCACTAAATGCCAATTAAAAGCTTTAGGGTAGGCACACAAATCTAGGATTGGTAGGAAAACCGGAAACACATATATTTTTTGCTTTATACGTGTGTTTACATTTAAGTTGTTATACAAATCTAGGATTGGTAGGAAAACCGGAAACACATATATTTTTTGCTTTATACGTGTGTTTACATTTAAGTTGTTATACATACCACAATGATTCGGCCATCAGCTGTCACTATAGACACAGTATCTGTTATTGGAATTAAGGATTGCTAAAACAAAATCTTACACATAAACAGAATGTGTACAAGCTTTTCATTACTTGAATTTGATATACTACCTGTTAGTTCCAGAACTGCATCTAACACATCAATGTATATTGGATTCTGATTCACATCATGATATAGCCAACAACTAAAGTAAAACCACAATGGATCAGACCAACAATTGTCCCAAACATCAAGATTTTTTTCAAGGCAACAGCCACACTATAGCTACCAACTGATTAACATTAGCTACAAATCAACAACATTGGCTTTCAACAGACAACTGAACAGATCTCCAAACAACATGGACGTCAATACCTTTTAGTACCCTGGTGTCACAAGCAGCAAGCACCCAGAAACTATAAGTCAATTGCCATTTGTTGCAGCTGCCAATCTTTTTGTCATTAGCTTTATATCTTAAACTGTGAAGTCTTTGAAGAATGTCACTGCAAATTGTCCTCCTGTTTTTCTAACCCCGGCCCCTGATATACTTATGATTAAGCAAGCATCTCTAAGTATGTTAATACATCGACCCAATAACCAGAAGAATATCAAGAGATTGATGACAGCCTGATATATAGGTTCCATAAGTGTATTCGCAGGAAAATAGATACCTTTTAGGAACCCCGTATTCTGGGAGTCCACTAAGGTGAAACAATGTTGTCAAGAGTTTTCATAATATGTTTCATAAAAATAGCTTCAAAATGTAAGAGGGGTGCAGGGTGGGTGGAGGGGGTTGCTCACCTGAGTATATATTTATTGTGAATGTGCATTGAATTATATTGTGTACCTAGTAAGCGGGTATAGGTTATACTTTCATTAACCTCATAAAATTGGTTCACTAGGGTACAATGCAAGTACAGTTCCTAGGCCTAAGCTGTAATATCAGTAGACAGTACAGCGTAAATATCATCACTGCGTTTTGCCTCACACAGGTCGCTTGTGTAGCAACATTTCATTGTGTCATTACATTTTGGCTTAAATTTTTTTGAAAATAAATGTTTATATGTAAACAAGAAACAAGAGACACATTTTCTACATGTATGATTATACGATATCTGCAGTTTTCAAAGGATACGATTTACATACGATTCTAGTGCGGAAGCCATCTCTCGTCGCTTAGGGACAAGTCATTTGTTGGAAATAAATATATATGGTCAAACAGGGTCAAAGCACAAAGCATTAAAAACTATACTTTAGCAATTGTCTTAGTTATCTAATAATGATGAACATACTTTTCAAAAAAGAAGATGAGATTTATATTTCCATATATCTGTTCAAAAATAAGGGCGATATTCTATTGAAAATGCATGATCCCTTTCGAGCATGCGTAGTCAATACTTAATGGCTGCCCCCATGGAATCCATGCCGGGAGGAAGCTGAATGCAAAGTTTACTGCTATTCTCAAGATATGGCTTCACTTTTATGCAAAAGATTATTGTCAACAGTGTGCAAAGTGGTCTCTGAGAATGGCCTTTCTCAACAACCTTTTTACCAAAGGTAAATATATACGTAGTAAATAAAATGTACTGACCTTGTATCCTGTTCACGGGAGCCGGTCTCTGACAAAATATGATTTTTACCACCATTTCATTATTTGAGATCATGCGTTTCAGATTCAACTTTAACCTTTTCACTTTTTCATTTTGATGCCATGGGTTTGATGTTGGGTGTTTTTTTTAGAAGAATTAAATGGCATTCTTAGTTCGATTATTTTTTTATAAAGACTACAATTGTGTAATGTCACCATAACAGCGCTAAGTTATCTCCCTTCCTTTATTATGTTATTGAATATTATGAATAACCCATCTCCAAATCCAATCAGGTATTTTCATTGTAAAGTGATGACCAGTTTTCATTATGTTTTTTTTCATTCAAAAAACTCACAGATGAAAATTTTGTTATTCTTTTTTCTATTTCTTTTTCTGTATAAGAAATTAAGGAAATACCAAATGCCTGCTTCTGTAAAAAATATTTACAGTACTCTACAGTTAATTTTACAAAAAAGCAAGGCTGACTACATTTGGTAAAGGGTTGTTTGGCACACTTAAATTATATATAATTTAAGAAAAATCGCTGATAGAGTGTGTGTGTGTTTTGTGATAGTAAGCTAATTACAGAAAAAAGAAACTTTATTTCAACTTAACCAAACTTTAATTTATTTTATAAGTGTGTGTTGGATAAAGCTGATTTATAGAATAGCCCAACATTGTCTGGCTCTTCCATCGTGCCTATGCATTTTTGACAGCTGTATTGTCTATCACTAATAGACAGAACTCACTATTGTACATTATGTATATTAAACCTGGTATTCGAAAATACCAAGGTATGTCCCAAATGTCTGTTTTACGTCAGAGGTCATAACAAGCAAGTATCATATAGCTGAACATACACCTTCAAAGGCTTTTTGAGACCCAGATATTTGAGTCCTTGTATCATCAAGCTTTCTCTGTGGGGCTCATAAACGGTTTGAAAACCCACCATTGTACATCTTTTAATAACAGGACTCCTCAAAATATTGAAAAGTATGATAAAAACTTTAAAAAATCCAACACAAATCGCTGTACTTGACGTTGTACATTAATACCTTCAGTGATACAGTATGTTTCATACCTTTGTCACTAGTACTTGGAAAGGAATGTTATCACTCTCAGAAGTTGTGACATCAGTGATCATGATCAGTCAAGTTCACAAGAATTATTTGAGGGGATCCAGAGGAAAAATGTTTTTGTGGAAAAAATGGATTCGTTGATTTATCAGTTTTGATTGAAAAGAAAATCTAATCAAAACAGACTTATGTGAACAATATTTTTTTGTAGTGTGTGAACTGTGTAGCTGATATCTTGATTTGTGAGCCTCTCCTACATCCTGAAAGAAGATGGCTGCTGAGAAAAAGAAATTTAAAATTCCCTCTTCAGTGGAAATGGACCAATCCTCAACTGTACTAAAACCTCAAGATACCCTTGCTGCTTTTAAGAGACAAAAAATTGAAGATGAATCCCGCAAAACTGCAGACAAGAAGAAAACAGCACCAGATCCTAATCAAATTAAGATTGGTTCCTTTCTCACTTCATCTAAGCCTTCAGCAACAACATCTAACACAACAACCAGTGAACCAAGTCGGCAAGGTTCTGCAGTCACTGTAAAAAAAGATGCATCATCATCAGCAGCAGTATCTGAAATGGTAAATAAAGGGGTAATATCTACAAAGCCAACTGATATAATGGTGGCTCCTATAACAGTGGGTAAAGGAAGTACAAGTAATGCCCTCATCGTTAATCCCCGGCAGAGAGGTAACCCCATTCTCAAGTCAGTACGCAATGTAGCCTGGGAATTTGGAGACATTGTGCCAGACTACGTGATGGGATTAAGTACCTGTGCTCTGTATCTGAGTTTAAGATACCACCAACTGAATCCCAATTACATCCACGACAGACTGAAGCAGTTAGGTCGAGCCTACGACCTGCGCATCATGCTGGTGCAAGTCGATATCAAAGAACCTCACCATTATCTAAAGGAACTCGCCAAGATCTGCATTCTAGCAGACTGTACACTGATGTTGGCATTCACAACTGAAGAAGCTGGTCGATATCTTGAGACCTACAAAGTTTATGAATTTAAACCACCTGATGCCATCATGGAAAAAACTGATCACGACTTTGTGTCCAAGTTCACTGATTGTTTGACAAGTGTGAAGTCTGTAAACAAAACAGATGCAGTGACGTTGATGTCAACATTCAAAACACTGGAAGGTGTCATGGAGGCTTCCAAAGAAGATCTGTCTCTCTGTCCAGGGTTTGGACCTCAGAAAGCAAAACGTTTGTACGACGTATTCCAGGAACCTTTTGTGAAGGCTAAAAAACAAAATCCGGAAAACCGGTGATGATGAAGAAGATATCTTGAATATTCAATCCTTGAAATATTGGTTTATTTATTTTCTGAAGCCAAAAAAAAGTGTTGTTAAACTAAAAGGAAAGGAATATTGTGTATTGTTTCTAGCCACATGACTTTCATTGCTACTTTACCATCACAAAGTAGCAATCAACAAACAGCTGTGCTCTTATATTACGAGGCCCTGCTTAGCAGGCCAAAACTAGTCAACACAAGTACAAATACAGTCATGGAAACCTGGATCCAGGAGTTGCTTCTCACCTTTTGTAATTATTTAAATGTAAATGAACTGAACTTTATTATACATAATACATATACTTCAATTATATATGTTCATTGAAATATAGTCATTTTTTTCACAAGAATTATCAAAGCTATCATGAACAGTAGACCTTTAAAATATAGAGTATCTTTTTGAATCCACACAAATGGCTTTGTCTCTAAATTTAAGGGGGGAAACTTGATATTTTGGCTTTCAAAATTGCTAACTGCCAAGAGTCAACTGGAAGCACTGAATAATGTTTTGTCGAAGCTGTTATTGTCTGTACTTTTGAGGATCAATTATTTCATTTTTTAAGTACAATATGTGGTTGTTAGTATACAGAAGTCAGTTATTGCCTTTTTCAATCAAAACACAAGAATTTGCCTAACTCTGATATTTAAATGTATAAATTTTGTGTTAAACAGAATTTTCAATAAAAGTAATTATTTTCATTCACAATTCTATCAGATTGAGTTCAGAAAAAATGTGGCGTTATGCCAACAAATTCTATTTCATTTGACTGTAAAACTAATAAGTTCAACCCCTACTTTAGATAAGATATTGTTTGTTATTGAGGATAAAAACTGTGAGATGTTAGTTGCACTGTTCATTTGTCATGTATTATTGATCATGATATAACAACATGTACATGTATGAACTTATTTTTGCTGTATCATGTTTATCGTATTTATTCTGCAATAAGCCCAGGGGGCCAACATTTAATCTCTGACTGAAAGTAGGGGGTGGGTTTATAATAGGACAACACATAATCTCTGACTGAAAGTAGGGGGTGGGCTTATTACAAGATAATGAAAAATCTTTTGCTGGCATTTCTTCCTAACAGCAATATATATTGGTGGGCTTATAACCATATAATATACATTAATGGTACACGCATTTGTAACTTTGTTTAGTGTCTGATTTGCACCTTTTTGATGCCTTAGAAATAATTGCTTTACTCTTATTTTTATATTTAATACACTATTCAAATAAGAATATTTACCTATAAAATTCACTGAAAACTTTCATTTAAAAGCTGATCTATTTGATGGAAATGTTCTGGCCAAATTTGAATAATACATCAAACATGTACATTTTGCCCTTTGAGTAGAACATCTAGATCTGCACCATTCCAGATTTTGTGTTGGTTGTATTAAACTGTTTGAAGTAAATTGTACTTGCTCTTGTGTTATCAATTTAATATACATATAAAACATGTTTACTATGAACACAACCTCTACCTTCAAAGTACATACGGATGTCAGGTTTTTGTCTCCTGGTATCAGATTGTCTCCAACATCTTTTGACAAATTATGGCAACAGTGAACAGTTTGTTTTACATGTGTTTTACTGTGTTTGTTTATGAATGAAATTTGATAATCAGATTGATCGGTAATATATGTAGAAGCTGAGACATTGGGAGGAACCTTTGAAACATTCATCAGATTGAGACTTGGTATATGATCTATGCTGATACATTGATAAATGTTGCTCGTTTAATCTTTCTTACATCACCTTATATATACTTTTATTGAGATTTGATGATACACAGAAAAAAGTCTCTGATTTAAGGCCCCTGTCGAATCATTGCATTTCGTCTGTGTCCTGCTTAAGGCTGGAAGAAAAAAACCACAAAATGAATCTACAGCACCAATTGCAACAGCTGAGGTCTCTAATTTTTCAGTTTCTATTAAAAAGTTATATTTTTTTATATGAAATTTGATTTAGCAAAACTAGAACAAACCACTATAAGATGCTTCAGAATACACAGTTATACAATTCATAAAATCAATACATTTTGATGATTTTGCAGAAGTTGTTTTATCAGGGGCTCAGTAGCACAAATCCTATGCCACCTGGCTTATACCTCCACATGTGTGCAGACCTGCATGTGTGCTTCAAAAAGCAACTTGTTTGCAGTGCCACCTTACTTGAGTGTTACAGGACAGTAACTGTAGCGCCCACCCAAGAACAGTTTTCTCTCCACCGGGTCATTGGGAGTTGTGTTGGGTAGCTAGTGTTGGGAGAAGAATTACACTTTCTCTCTGAAATTTCCATGCTATGACTATTTTGGTGATTGAATTTAGCTGCCTGCATGCATATGGAAGGCCAGACATAGTTTTAACCACATTGCAAGATTCATCCATTTTCTAAAACTTTGTGTGCTTGTACATTTTTAGAGCACTTGTCTACACCAAATGCAACCATTTATCAGTTTTCTACCATGTGACCTTGTGTGACCTTATCATGTGAATGGGCCATAAATACTTAACAAATATATAGACCAATGATATTTGGATTTCAGATGTCTCACCAAGTCTAAAATTTCATTCAAAAATATATATTTCAAGATCTTTGTGCCAACATATTGAATTAACCAAATAAAATTATAACTATTATCTTCTAAGTTGCCGTGAAGATGAAAAATCTATGTTTACCTGTCTAAAATAATACAACTGATATCTGTTCTGTGATATATGAACAGGAAAATATCACCCAAAATATAGCTTTACTGAATACTGAACAGTCTAATTTCAAACCTGGTTTCATTTCTTTAATCTAACTCCCACAGGGAGTTGAAATCTTTTTCTTGTCTCCCATTTTAACAAATCAAAACTGAAATTCCTCAATCACATGGTAGTCAATTAATTGGAGTATAATACTACATGTAAGGGTGGTAGGGTGGCGCAGTGGGTAGCACGCTCGCTGGGGATCAACTTCTTGATTGGATGTGTTAAGGTATTGGGTCACCTGCCTGACCATGTATGTTTTCTCTGGGCAATCTGGTTTCCTCCAACATCAAGACCCTCAGCACACTTCTATCCGGGCCAACAAGCAAGATTAAAATAAGTAGCAAAAACTTGTTTTTACAATTGTTGTTAAATAAGTAGATGTAATACATGTTGGGACTAGATAGAATTTTATGTCAAAAATGTGCATAACCCTGTCAGATAGAGGAGAATCTAATATTTTGAATGTACCCCAGATGTTTAATATACCATTGTGTTACAGGTATGGGATCCACACAGCAGCTGTCTTAGAGAGCAAACACCGATATTCTGACAAAAACATAGATTTGAACAAAAACACCCTCAGGCCACAGAAACTGTTCAAAAGTGGTGGAAGAGATCCTGAAACAGGTAAACAATACAAAGGTCAACACCAGGCGTGATTGGTTGGTCACCAGTGGCAGATCCAGAGACATATCTGGGGGTGTTTTCCAAATTACCAGGAGGGGGGGGGGGTTCCATGTCGGGAAAATTGAAGGAAATTGTGAAAATACATGATTTTTAAAGAAAATTCTCAGGCTGGGGGGGGGGGGCCCTGAAGCCCAAAAAAACCCTCTGGATCCGTTACTGGTCACTAATCAGTTCAAAAATAGGATGTTATTTTGAGTTATTTTTAATGAGACGGCCACTCAAACTAAATGTATGTGTTCAGGTTATTTAATACAAAGGTCTACACCAGGGGTGATCGGTTGGTCACCAATCAGTCTAAAAATAGGATGTTATTTTGAGTTATTATGTCTCCCCTTCGGATGAAGGGAGACATTGTATAAGTACTGGTTCTTCTTCTTCTGGTTCTTCTAATCGGACTTGTCGGGGCCATAACTTTTAAACCGTTAAAGATATCTTGATGAAACTTTAGGTATGCATGCATCACAAAGAGGAGGTGTGCAGTGCACTGGAATTAGATCAAGGTCAAAGGTCAAATAAGTGCACATTTTCAGTAAATTCTTGTCTGGGCCGTAAATTTCAAACCGTTAAAGATATCTTAATCAAACTTGAAGTATACCTGCATCACCCACAGAAGGTGTGCAGTGCACTGGAACTAGGTCTCATGCCCCATTATATACAGAGTTATGGCCCTTTGTTTATTTTTAATACCGAAGTTTGTCCAGAGCATAAGTTCTATGTTATTTCACCTACGTATACGTTGACCATACTTACCATATTGATGTAACTTGGGAAGGCGGAATTTCTCACTCTAAAATCAGAGTTTATGCCCCACTATAAATAGAGTTATGGCCCTTTGTTTATTTTTAATACCGAAGTTTGTCCACGACATAACTTCTAAACTATTAAAGATATCTTAATCAAACTTGAAGTATACCTGCATCACTCACAGAAGGTGTGCAGTGCACTGGAATTAGGTCTTGTGCGTCACTATATACAGAGTTATGGCCCTTTGTTTAATTTTAATACCGAAGTTTGTTCACAGCATAACTTCCAGCGTCGATGCGGGTGCCCTATACTAATTCATCCGTTTGTCCATCGCAATCAAACAAGGTATCAACTGACCAAAGGTCAAGGTCACTGGGTCAAAGGTTAAGGTCAAATTCAGTATCTTTTTATTGGGGAACATTTTGTTATGAAATTATGGAGCAAATTAAAGTTGGTTGGAATTTAACAAAGAGTCAACTGACTTGAGGTCAAGGTCACTGGGTCAATTTCAAGGTCAGATATTGTATCTTTTTACTGATGAACATTTTTTGTATGTTATTATGAAGCAAAGTTGTTCCGAACTTAACACGGAGTCAACTGACCAAAGGTCAAGGTTACGGGTTCCAAAGGTTGGAAGAATGAGTCAACTGACCAAAGATCAGGGTCACTGGGTTAAAGGTCAAGGTCATTTGGGTCCAAAGGTCAAAGACAAAGTGTATCTCCTACTTTGACCCTGGCTCTTGATGGGGGAGATATTTAAGGTGAAATAAAACAAATCAAAGCTAACAAATGAGTATTGCACCGGAATTTACATTTCTGTTAGCCCAGCAAATATGGAGGTGGAAGGAAACAAGACTCACATCATAGTACATATAAAATGTATATTTTGCTTCCTTGCGATTTTTTTTGAAGTCCAAATGTCAAATGTCAAGCTCAGCTATATGGGCAGATTGCTTCTTGATGATTATGGGGGATATATTGCCACAAGACGGGGCCCTTACAGACCTGTCAGTGTTCTAGTTTGTCTTGATGATTATGGGGATATATTGCCACAAGACGGGGCCCTTACTGACCTGTCAGTGTTCTAGTTTCACCTACGTTGACCAAACTTGCTAAAGTTTTAATGTATCTTGGTAAGTAGGAGTGTCAAATTCTAAATTCGGGTCTCGTGCCCCACTATATAAAGCGATATGGCCCTTTGTTAATTTTTTATACCGGAGTTTTTCTATTGGCTAATAAGGGGAGACATGTTTTTGTTCACAAAAACAAAATTCTAGTTTTTAATGAGACGGCCACTCAAACTGCATGTATTCAGGTTATTTAATACAAAGGTCTACACCAGGCGTGATTGGTCAGTCACCAATCAGTTTAAAAATAGGATGTTATTTGTAGTTATTTATAATGAGACAGCCACTCAAGTCATCCAGGTTATTTATTAGCCCATCTGTTCTAAAAACCTTTGCACTTATTTCATTTGTAGGGCATTTGAATGCATTCAATAAGTCAGAATCAGTCCTATAGGGTCTTAGGCCAAACAATAAAAAGTTGTTTGTTTCCCGTTACATGTTTGAAAAAAATAGGGTAGGAAGATGATTTTCCATAATTTTTTTATCAGGTTAAAATAGGAGAATGATCTTGAAAATGCTTTGTCACCTCTTGTGGTACATTTGTCAGTGGTCAAAGGGAGGCTACTCACACAGCTGTTAAAACTGTAGTGTCTGTAGGATTTTATGGTAAGCCAATATCTCAAACCACCAAAGTTATGAAAAAGAGTATACGTGGCAAATTAAATATAAATGTTATTTGGGAGAAATTTTCCAGTTCACATATTACATAATGTAATTGCCCAAGATTTAAAATTTAATTAGCGGTCGGGTGGTGCAGCCGATAGTGTGCAGCCGATAGAGCACTCACCTTCCACCAAAATGATTCAGGCATTAATACGCGCCTTTTGAGTTGCTCTTTTAGATGAAATCGTTAGATGTAGATTGTAGAAATTTAATACCCTGTCTTGCTTTGTATATTACCAGGACGTGTGATATACAAGCGTATAGGAGGCGGCCACAAACAGTCATTACGATTGATTAGCTACGAGTACAATGTGCCAGAAAGCAAAGCTGATATTGGTTACGAAAAAATCATCAAGGTCCGCAAAGATCCCTGTCGTACGGCGCATATCGCCATAGCAGCAACTGGTAACAGGAAGCGCTACATACTGGCTTCCGACGGTA